TATTCCTCTTCTTCTTCTTCATCATCATCTATCTTTTCGCTTCCAAGCTGCTTCCCAACCAAACTAAACAAGGTATCAACGCAAGAGAACCAACCGGGAAACTAAATAACAAAAGAGGAAAAGAAACAGATAATCTTCAATCAAGCACCCTGCGCCTCCTCCTTCTTGTTATCCATGCAGATGCACATGGCGGCGACGAGGGCCATGTCGACGTTGGGCGCGACGGTGACGGCGTACGAGTCCTGGCCGGTGAAGAACTCGCGCGCGTTGAGCATCTTGCGGTCGATGACGGCGACGGGCTGCTTGGTGGCCTCGTCCGTGATCTCGGCGTTCGTGCCGAAGAAGTTGCCCTGCACTATCAGGGTCTTGTCCTGGAACGTGCAGATCATCTTGCTGCCGCCGACTATTATTGTTGTTGTTAGTATTGCCAATTTGAATTAGCATGTCATATGTTGAGCTAAGCGCGAACCAACCTGCCTACTATATCTACATCAAGCTGCGCGTGTAGGTATGTATGTAGGTACTTAGGTAGGTAGGTAGGTAGGTAGGTAGGTGAACTGTGGGATGGGAGGACAGGGCGGAATGGATATGGGAATAGGACGAGACGTACTGTTGAATTTGCTCCTGACCTCGAAGAGGACATTGCCGTTGGGGTCCTCGCCGTAGTACGTCGAGTGCAGCGCGAGATGCTTCTTGCGGATGGCGAAGAGCTCGTTGCCGGACATGTCGCAGAAGTGCTGCCTGTTGGAGAGCGAGAACGACTCGCCCTGGATGCGGAACAGGGGCTGTCCGCTGGCTAGCATGATGTCGAAGCTGTCGCCCGACAGCGACATGGCCTTCTCCTTGAGCACCAGCGTCTCGTGCTGGCGCGCCATGAAGGGCTGGAAGAATCCTAGCCTGGACGGGTAGGGGGGTAACTGCGCCATGCTTGTTGTTGTTGTCGTCGTTGAAATTTAGCTTTTACTCTGCGTGTATCAACGGGATACTGGGAGCTGCTGCTGCTCCCCTAGGCTTGATGATATTACACCGGAGTAAAGTTAGAGGGGTAATAGGTTTTGGCAGAATCAGCGTAGCAATGGATAACTGGATGTTGTAGAATAAGATGAAAGAGCTAGCTAGATTTCCCGACCGAGACACTTTGTTGAAAGACCCTTTTTATATGCTTAAATTTTATCATACAATACCTACGCCAGCTTCAACTTCGCTACCTCACGAAATATCATACCAAGGTAGCTTCGGTCTTCCGTTGCTACCAAAGAACCCATGCCGCTAGCATCTTGGCCATATAATTACCTATTCCGACCAGCACAGCACAACACAAACCTCGTTTAGCGCCGGGGGGGGGGAGTTGGCTGCCTCCCTGGGTACACTTTTACTTTTAGGTAAATCTACCGTACCCAGACCAGACCAGACCAGACCCAGGCTCATGGCGCACTGAAATATCTCCCGTGACGTCAGACGACGAAACACCAGAATGAGGTAACAGTTCTAAGCCTCCCCCCTCTTCCCCCCCTGTTACCTAGTACCCTATGGGGCATTGGAAGTCTTGGCCACTTGTCAAGCAGGCGCAAAGAAAAAAGGCTTAATTGAACGCCGGGGAGGCTAAGGTTGGCGCCAAAATCCGTAGCTCGGTGGCTTTTGCTGACTCGATAGGCTGTAATATCTATCTGTGCTAAGTGATCGTCATCCAGGTATATGTTCTCGAAGACAATAAGCCATTCCTGCAGGGTGCGGGTGTCTCTTGTGAACGGTGCGGTGACGTCAGCCTGGAAGAGAGGCAATTGTGTTAATTCGAAGACAATTTAGGTACAGGTGTCTATCGATGCCCGTTACATCGGGGGGCGGAGTCTTCAATGGACAAGATGGAACTGGCATAGCATGGCATGACTTGCGCCATGAATCAAGCCCATTACTGTGGGGGGGTGGGCGGGATATTCATCATCGTGTCAGGGACGAAAGGCAACTATGTGTACTAGTGGAACCCAACACCAAGGCAGCACCGTTCGAGATGATCTCCAAGGCCCATCCGAATCGTGTTGTGCTACTGTGTGAACTTACCTCCTCGCGGGCGTGATGGCTAATAACTGTAGTGAAATAGTGCGCTTGGGCATCACAAAGTATACAGCTACTTAGAGGCAGTAAGCTAAGTATGTTTGAGATCTGATATAAGGAGCTCACGGTGTCTAAGCCCGATCACGTCGAATTACACTATATTTAACTGACGACAAGCACGTGAGGCCTCACTACCTGTGGAAGAGGAGATATAGCTTGAGAATGGCACAGTACCGTCTGACGTCGCTCTCAGATTATAGGTACTTAGGTAGGTCAGGAGCTTCACGGAATAGGTTATCATTACAAACGGACGAAGATGTACAATTGCAATAGATTATTATAAAGGTGAATGTGCTTCGGCGGCCTACAATTTAAAAGCACCACTCGAAGCGGCTCTGGTAGCCTTGGCCTTGTTGCCGTCGACATCCACTACCTCGCCCTTCTTATTGATGACCCTGACACCGCCCTTTCGGAGGTCGTCGAGCGTTTCTTTGCGCTGCTGTGCTTTCGCGCTCTGTGGTCCCTTGCTGTCGGGGCCGCCGCTCTTGCGGATCCTCTCCTTCTCGCGACGGCGCCTCCTCGACTTATCTTCGCGAGTCATCTCTTGCCTGGCGACGGGCAACCCACTCTTCGTGACGACCTCGCCCTTCTCGGCGTTTTCCTTGCCAGCCTTGTAGACCTCCTGTGGCGCCAGCGTGTTATCGCCGCCGCCGACGCCCTGCGCGGTGGTTGGCTGCGCGTCTTCCATGCTGATGGTCGCCACGTCCGGCACGATGGTGAGCGTGGGCGCCGCAGGTTTCGGCCTATAGTGCCAGCTGCTCAGCGCGTCGAGATTGGAGCTGATGTCCTTCCACATCTGCTCGATCTCCTTCTCCTCCTTGCGGAGCTTCTCGTCTGATTTGCTAACGTAGGAATCCGGGTTGGCATTCTTGACGTGCTCCTCTTCGTATATCTCCGCCAGGCCTTGTTTCGATTTGGTGTCCTCTACGTTGGCAAGCCCGCGGCGCGTGTTCGAGGAGAACTCTGCCGCATCAGGCCGTCGTCGAATGACTTCATCGAATTCTCTAGCTAATATGCGTCGCTTGATGAGATCTTCGATGCTTTCGTTGATGTCGGGCGTGATGACAGGGACGGGCTTTCCCGCATGTTCAAAATCGAGGTCTTCCTCCAGGAGGGAGTTCATGGGGCGCTCAACGGCCCTGGCCTCACCTGACATGGTCCAATCTTTCTTCGCCACATTGGCTGCTTCTAGCTTGCGGATTTCCTCGGCCAACTTGGCTTGTCTCCGCTCGTGTGCAGACCTCCTTGACTTGGGATTTCCGGCCGAGACGTCCGAAAGCGCACCGTCGGAATCTTCACGTTCCGATTCGTCTTCGAATAAGTCACGGCGAACGTCTGCCATCGCTCGTTCAACTTCTTCTTCGGCTGGACCACCCCGTTCTGCGGTGGTAGGCTTGCGTGGCCTGCTGGGCTTGGCCCCCTTCCGGCGTGGCGGCGCGTAAAAGTCCTTGTACAGGATGTCATTGGCGTTGTTCTCCTCTGTATCATCCTCTGCGTCGTCTTCGTCTTCGGCTTCGCTGTCACCTTCAGGAGCGTCCAGGTCCATGTCGCCGAAGGTGGCTCCACCTTCATCGTTCTCGTTTTCGTCCTCATCCCCGTCTCCGAAGCTAGACTGCATCTCATCGTCTTCGTCATCTCCGCGCCGCTTTGATTTTGACTTATTGGGTTTGGCCTTGGCTGCCTGCCGTTTTATCGAGGAAACGTCTGCGTGCCAATCGAGTCCCTCATCCTCGCTTCCTTGGTCGACGTTGGGGTCCGCTCGAGCGTCCGCATCCTCCCATAGCTGTGTTTGTTTGTTAAACTCGTCAATTGAGAAGAACCCGTCATTTAGGCCGTTGGGATCTTCGATTAACGGTTCGGGTTCGTCCTCCTCATCTTCCTCTCCGTCCTCGTCGTCCTCGTCTTCATACCCGTCTAGATCCTCTTCTCCATCTTCTTCCTCGTCGCTCACGGCCCCTTCAACACCGCCCTCTAAAGAGTCAGCACCATCAAGCTCATCATCTGATCCGGCGTTTGTAATCCGTGCTTCCTCATCCTCTCCCTCTTCGTCAAACTCTTCAGCTGAGTCCTCGTCACTCGGATCCGCGATATCGTCGAGGTCGCTTCCACGCAGCCCCGACGGGCCCGTTGTTTCATGGACGCCGTTGATCTGTCCTTGGTTGCCATCCTGTAGCTCCCGCAGCGTCTGCTCCGCATCGTGTAGGGTGCTTGTGATGATCCTCTTCGCCTGCTGCCAGACTTGGCCACTCTCGAAGCCGTCGACATGCAGTTTCCTGACCTTGAGAACTTCGACGGGGCCGTGAGTCTGGTCAGCGCGCTTGCGCTTCTTGTTTGCTTCCCTCTGTCGTTGCTGCTGCTCGTCGCTCAGTTGACCGGCGTATGCGTCAAGAGTGACCTTCGCAAGCTGGAGAGAGGCGTTTGGAAGCGACGCCGAGGGCTGCAGAAAATCGTGGCGGTTACCGGCCTTGAAAGCCTCGAACAGAGCGAGCAGGTCCATGCCGGCCGAGGGTCGTGTCGAGTCGGCGAGGGTGGGTACAATGCTGAGCGACGGCGCATTGGTGAGGGTATGCGATGTTGAAGTCATGGAGGAAGTGGTACTGCCAGCCATTTCTGGAGCAGGCTCTCTCGCTTGGCGGGAATTGGGAAGAGACTAGAAAGGCACGCCGGCCACGATGGTGTTGGGTGGTTTGACTCGGTCAAGATAGATAAAAATTTCCAGGCTCAATCAAGGGTCCCCGCAGCAGGTACAATAAGGTACTAACATGTACAGTATTGGGTACCTCTACTAAGTACCAAAGTACGTATCTATGTATGGGTACTTTCCACGAATATACTTTAGTATGACTTGCGATTTGCTAAGCATCAAAGACCACCTCCGTTTGGTTTCTGCCCGGCTGGCGTAATGGTTAACGCGTAAGACTTCTATGACCAAAGTAATTTGAAAATCTTACTTTAGAAGCTCATCTTAAGATTGCGAGTTCGAGTCTCGCGTCGGGTTACAGGCTTGTGTCTTTTATTTTGCACTACCTAACTAAATACCTAAGTGACTACTTAATCATTTGCTTGACTTTTTTATTCCCTGCTGGTTGGTTATCTGTCTCTGCCGCCGTTCAGTCAATGTCTATTTTCTTTTCCTCCTGTTGGCAGAGCCTAATCTGTCCTTGACCTACTTGTAGGTACTTATCTACCTAAACCAACACCCGCCTGCCTGCCCCTCTGTCCCACTTGTCTACATGATTGTGTACCCATGTCACCTACAACCACCTCCTCGGAACTTGTCGTGCTCGACGGCTTGACGATGCCCTTCATAAGCCATCCACCATGAACAACGTAATTGAGGCGCTGCACATCTACGATGAGCACAAGTATGTCACCTCATATTATTAGTATTATTATTTATTTTTTATCACCCACAAGCCCTGTCTCTTTGCTAACGACGAGTCGCCAGGCGCGCCATCCTCTCCCACACCTATACCTCTCGGCCGCTCTCCGCAGCTCATCTCCTGCCTCTCTATCTCGAACATCCGGCACCACGGCCCAGCCTGATCTACCTATCCAATACCAATCCGTCTACCCTCGTATTTAGCCTAGAACACGCAGACCTCCTCTACCTCGCCACCACATCCTCCGACATCGAACCTCTCCTGGTTCTCGAGTTCCTCCATCGTGTCATTGACGCCTTCGAGGAGTTCCTGGGCGCCCCGGTCCTCGCCCACAAGATCGAAGCCAACTACGATGTCGTCGCCCAGCTCCTCACCGAGATGTGCGATGCCGGCATCATCAGCACCACCGAGCCGAATGCCCTGAGGGACGTCGTCGAGGTGGAGGGCCTCTTGGGGAAACTACTGGGAAGCATCAACTTGCCGACTAAGCCGCTTAGCAGCTCGAACCCTGCGTCCCTGATAGCACAGAACGGCCCTTCGCTTCCATGGAGGCGAGCAAACGTACGCCATACGTCGAACGAACTCTATGCGGATGTTGTAGAAACTCTGTCGGTCACGCTGGCCCCGTCAGGTCGGCCTATCGCGGCCTTCGCAAACGGCACCATCGCCTTCACTTCCAAGGTCTCCGGTGTTCCGGATATCCTGGTGAGCCTTACCGGTCCTTCCGGGAAGCATAACCTGAAGAGCATCATGGAGCTGCCGGTGTTCCATCCCTGCGTTCGGCTGAATCGCTGGTGGGAGAGCCCGGGCGAACTCAGCTTCATACCTCCCGATGGACGGTTCATACTCGCTGGCTACGAAGTTGACCTACTGCCCCCCGCCAACAGCGGCGGCGGCGGCGGCATTGGTCACAACCTCAAATTGCCCGTGAGCATCGAAGTGAAGACCTGCCTTGGCTCCGTGGGCTCGGATTTTGATGTGCGTTTGAATATCCACAAGTTATTCGGCCCCACTGCTCAGTCAATGGGTGGCCCGTCCGCCAGAGGGGGGGCGACGGGCGGAAGGGGTTTCGGGGGGGCACACGCCGGCACCGCTGCATCCCCCTCCCTCCAAGACGTGGTAGTATCGGTGCCACTTCCGTCAGACGTCAGAAACCTATCCGATGTGCGGTCCAGTAAAGGGGATGCGAGTTATAGCCCGGGAGACAATGTCTTGGTGTGGCACATACCGGCCAAGGATATCTCGGCAGGGACGTCATACTTCAGCCTCCGATGCACAGTCGTAGGGCCGCTACAGGACGACGCGGCCGAGGAAGACGCAACCGGGTTCGGGTTCGGTAAGGATTACTCCTACGACGAACCGTATCAGGGCTCCACCGCAGCAGCCCGCAGGCCGAAAGCCGCGGCCAGGGGATCGGAAGAACGGGACGGGAGAAAGGTGGCCCAGAATAAGATTCTGATGCCCAGCTCCGCTTCCGTCAGCTTCTCCGTCAAGGGGTGGATCCCCAGCGGCATCAAGGTCGAGAGCATCGTTATCGACTCCAGGAAGAGTCGCGGCCTAGGGGAAGGAATCAAGCCTTACAAGGGCGTTAAATATCTCACAATAAGCAAGGGAGGCGTTGAGATACGGTGCTGATGCGGAAGCACTCGGCTACGCGTCTTTCTCTCAATATCCTGTGGAACAACGTTGTATATCGTAGACGACTTGGCGTTTGGTGTGGGATCATGGCGCAGAATCGTGTTGTCTATGAGCTCCATCTACCTACGGGCGAGACAGCTGATGCACCGGGGCATATACATTAGGTATAGTATTCAAGACGTTTACGTACTCTCTTAGACAATGCACGGTACGGGCACAGCGATGGTCCTCTCAGATTCTGGTTCAGGGAACTACCTAACTGTAATATTGCGAAGGTGTGAAGCAACGGAATAATAACGTAGGTGCTTCATGAACACTAGACAGGGAGGTTTTACCGTTCGGATGGGAATGCAAACTACACTACACCTGAGCAGTAAAGAGAGAGAAAACACAGAGTTGTATAGCCTCTAACAGAGCGCTCCCGGTCAAATGAAAAATATGGTCATTTTTATTTTGAAATGAGTGCGAGGATTAATGTTCGTTCGAGTCACCGAATCACTTCACCTTCGATTGCTCGCATATTATTACGTCAAAATGGGCGCTTAACATGATGACGCGATTGTAGCAGTCACCAATTATAGAAAATAAGTACCCATAAACATTCCGTCCCAAGTAGGTAGGTTAAAAATGCCAATCATTGAGCAGCGACGAACCTAGACGGTGTGGACGAACTACCCGCTACATTGACATGATAAGTAAAGTACCCAGCCAGCACTGCTGACGCCAATGCCAGAAGATGACACCCTGAGCACTTCAAACGCCGACGGCCTCAAAAATTTGTGCACATGTTGTAGTTATTAGGCAGAGTGTAATAGCCAAGTCACGGCAAGGTGGGTTACAACAGGGATGCAGAGTCGATAGGCTCTCTTCGTCTATGTGCGGTGCCCTTCCTCCTTCAACATCACATGCCTATATAACTTGCATGTAAGGGGAACCAGTTCATCTGAATCGATCTGTGAGGATCTTCTTACGCTTCTAGGATGAGCCCTAGATGCAACTCGTGGACTAGAGTTTGACTTCCAATTATTCCATCATCAGATAACTATCCTTGATGCGGTTGGCTACGGCTAAATGAGTTCCTTGGGGGCGAGGTTCAGCTGCGTATCTAATTACTACCTCTCGACGCCTCGGGGAGAGCGGTGTGCGTGGTGTTCATCGAATTCCGTGGAATCCGATTAGTAATTACTAAGTAGGATAGTTTTTCTAAGGAACAATTCCTATTGGGTAAACTCCGTTACAGCAGCCGCCCGTTCATTTTTTATGGGATATATGGTATGGTGGGCGCTACTCTAATGCATCCAGCTCAGAAGCAGGCTGACAAGTTCCTCAGTCGCTCATATTGCGGTCGAGCCTTGCTCGCGCCTCAGTACCAGAAACGGTAGGTAGCATAACGAGGCCCGTGGGTAAGAGGCAATGGTAATGCGGTTAGGATACTTTATATCATGCTTTAATACGAATCACGGCAAATTGTGATGATCGATGGATACTGACCCTATGGATCGTGGAATGTGATAAAAAACGGACTGGAAGTTTAACGAGGTTCTTGGGTATATCTCGGTTGTCAGTTCCATGCCTTGTATTATATCGACTCCCGTTGGTCTCTTTGGCTCAGAAATCCTAGGTCCAACCGGCCAATACAAGTCTGTATGATGTGGAGATAGTCGTAACAGACTCCCACTGCTACACTACCTAGGTGGCTGCTGCTACTAGCATAGTCGCTTCTACCGCAAGGGAGCAGGAACCTGAGGGACCTGAGTACGTGGCCAAGGGGCCTACTTGAATAACGTAAGACATATAGTTCAGCGTCAATTTTCAATAGCTCACTAGCTGATATGGGCAACCTCTTGAAGAATGGCCACGTAGATGGCACTGCTGTTCAGCTCATACGGCACAACTAATTAGGTAGTATTAGAGTGATGTATATAACTAGCTACGCGTGAGAAAAACATGAAACGTGGTCTCTACCTTTAGTAGTATCTCGGACTTGATGCCCACTGACGCTACGTGTGTCGTGCATAAGGCGTTATTATCAATGGCCCTAATCCTACCTGGGCGGTTGAATGTCCTCGTTTGAGTGGAAGCTTATATTATTTTTCCCAAGCCATTTATTATTCCCTACACCGGTCTACGTAACACTGTCACCGGCTTCGTAAAGCCTTACTGGACTTTGTGTCTTTAGGCCGCTCTTAGAGACGTCAATGATTAGCGAGCAATTCCAGACGGAACTAGGCATCTCGCCACCGCGCTCACGCTGGCCCATGGAGAATTTCCTGGGTCAATACTTCTTAGCCATATGTTTGGTCCATAAGGAAATAGACGAGGCTTCAGGTTCAGTCACCAGGGGAAAGTTTTTATAGGGGCCCCTTTGTGGTTAGTTTAATTTAAATAAAACTCATATTAAGAAATGGTCTTCAGGTTTTCATTTCTCCATAAGGACGTAGCATCTGCCTTGCACTAACAGCTGGCACTTGGACCCAGGGGTGGTATGATTGTAGGGCAGACCCAGGGCCAGGTCTCGTTCGCACAGGTAAGAATTTGCACTCACGCCACTATTTTTCTTACCCTACATCAAGGTGTATCAGGTCAAGATTTCAATCTTCATTCCCTAATGCCACCGCTGGACTTCCCATCAAACATCTGATCCTTCATCTTCTTTGCATTTGGCTCGAACCTACTCTTTCTATATCAAATGGAAGACATCTACCAAAGCGCGTTAGCCGGAACGCTCACAGCAGACCGCCTAAAAGGCGATCAATGGAGAAGTTACATCCACCACCAAAGCAAATTAACGCTGCTTAGTGCTGCTGTTTGGAAAGGTCACAAAGACCTCGTCAAGCTTTTGCTTGAAAAGGGGGCAGACCCGAACAAGGAGGGCGAGTTACGACCGCCGCTGTGGGTGGCAGCATCGAAAACGAAGACGAATGCCGGCCACATCATTGACATCCTCCTAAACCACAAGGCAGACCCGACGCTGCCC